GTAATCTGAAATAAAACGATTGGTATATTTAGTATAACGTAAAATGATTAACAGAAAAGAAAGAAATAATACTGTATCTTCATCTATATTTGTTATTTATTGTTTATTATTGTATAAGTGTTAAGTTGAAGTGTCATTTTTTCGTGATTAAGCCCCTTACAAGCGAGAATTTTTTAAACTTCTAAGAATGTATTCCATAAAAAACAGATTATTGTAAGTTATGCATCGAAGTCTTAAATATTAAAGAGGAAAGAAAGTAGGTATCAATTTCTGGTTACTTGAATAGTTAAGTTCTTCATTTGCAGCTTTCGATTTTAGATATCAAAGTTAGAAGTTGCAATTCCGGTGGTATTCAACCGCGAAGTGATTAATGTTATGTCAATTTCTTTTTAACGTGACACACATCAGTAAGACAATTTCTACAGCATTCTGCATACATTTCAATGCTCCACTAATTCCATTTTCGATAAAAATCATTATTTTCACAATTAAAAAATTCTCCAAATACTGTTGTTATTCCTCCAAGAGAATCTATTTTTTAAGGAATTATCTGTGTTCGAAAACATGAAAATCTGTGTGTATAGATCTTTCATCAGCATCGAATGTTTTCTTTATTCTATTATTCCTGTAACTCCAAGATAATGAAATTGGTTAATCATTGAAAAAAATGTATAGAGTCACGGTGAAAATCTTTCACCGAAATATTTCGTTAATACCATTAATTATTAGACATTTTGTACACGTATCATGTCATTTTACCGTAGGAATGAAATATTAATAGCATGAATTACGCCTCAAGAGTACATGAAATAGAAATTATTTTATAATAACACAGAATAAAAATGTTACATAAAGTGATACGTTACACAATATCTAACCCAGACCTGTTCTCTATGTTGTATTAAATATAGTATAGAATTCACGTGTTCTTTTAATGCAAATTAAAATGATTAATCATGATGCAGAATATAAGCAGAATGTGTAGTAATAAATTATTATTCGAAGAAAGTAATGATTATAAGTGCCTAGAAGGAAACTGAAAATTTAGAATACAAATCTTTTACAACGCATCGTCTTTAAACGTTAATAACGTTTATTTTTGCATCATTTAGCTGATGTACCAATTCAAAATTGATTATTTCTCTTTGTAATAATGTCTTGTATCATTGATATTAATCTAGTATTGCCCACTTCCCACGAATCATCATAGTTCATGCTTGTTGCATATAGGAACTGTGAGTAAGAACAGACACGCATTAGTCAGTCGTAATTTAACACTTATGTACGACTTTCTCGAATATGTTTTTGCACATGAAAATCTCCCTTCCGTTGTAACATTTATTACAGAATACCCTGAACCACATAATTTTTTGCAAGAGATTTTTTCGCGAGGAATAATTCATAATCGAGTCCACTTTATATCCATGCATTTTGAACGCCTAGGTTTCTATCAGCGAATCAAATCAGTTTCAATTATATTGTTTTACTACATCGTTTGAGAAAGTTCAACGAATATACGATTAGGATGGTCTTCAGCAAACTCGTATTTCATTATATAGAATAGATTTTTCCTCTTTCAGTTGGTATCATTCTTAAAACCGAACGAAAACTTTGTCACGCGCCGTTATTAAACGAACAATGTTTTAATGAAGTATTCAACTACTTTCTTATTAATAACTAAACTGCCAATGGACTTTTCCTACTCTCTTAAACGACTAAATGCATAAAATCCGCAGTTCAGAGAAGTGTGAAAATTATTAGACACTGCTACAAAATAGTGCGAAATGTAAGAATTCATTTCGTAAATAATGTTTCATTTACAGTATCCGTACGTTGATTCACACGTTACTCGATACTTCTTTGTCCTCGATTAACAATAGAGAGTATAAATTATACATTTCCTTCAATTGAAACGTTTAACGTAATAACTGAATCCAGGAAAACATGATCAAAGTATTTATTTCGCATTATTCTGTTACATGTTTAATCTGCAATCCAAAGAGATGCGACAATTGTGGTATAGAATGTATTATAATTTCTCAAAGAAACAGTGGAGAAAACTGGAAATTTGGAAAATTCGTAGCAAGCGTTCCATCGAGTTTAATAATTTTCATACTTCCGTATACAGCAATAATTGTAGAAGAGTGATAATTGCGCGACGGACCTGTCGTCCATCGTTGTAGGATCTGCCAGCTTTCCACTGGTCTTTATCGGTGTATTCTACAGGCTTACTGCCGTCACCTTTGCAGCTGTCGATACTGCTCACTCCACTGGAAGTCAATGCACTGCTCCTCACAATAACAGTATCCTTAGCAGGTTCGAGTCTATCAATGATCGTAGCATGAAAGGTTCCATTAGCGAGCTTGGTTTGCTGGAAAAAATGTTTCTTTCCATATCGCTGGGTCTCGTTATCCACATGCTCTTTCCATTCGGATTCATTCTCGTTGCTCATGTGACCACTGTCCTCCGAACAATTGCCGTCCGATATGTACCCGTTATAATCGTTCACGGTCTTAGCGTTCAGATTTTTCTTGGAACCGATAACCGACGCCGAAGAATCCTTCGTCCCTTTGGACGCCTCTGCGTTCTTGCAATTGAAGAAGTTTACCAAGTGCTCGATCTCCTTGGCTCTTTTGCCAACCGTACTCTTATTTTTTGTTTCCGGTGCAACATCCGCGTCTTTATGCCTGGTGTTGCTCGCAATCTTTGCATTCGCATGGGTCGGGATGGATCCCGAGTCGATTTTCTTTTCCGAATCACCGATCGGCTGCCCGCTGCTTTGCTTTTCCCAATTCTTCCGAAGTTTCTCGATATTCGACTTCGTATCCTTCTTCTGTTTCGATTCTTCGTTATCGTTCGTTCTGGGGTTCCCATTATCTTCGAATCGGTTATCGAGTTCTATCGCGTTCGTCGGATTCCTTATCGTTCCAGAGTTCTGCATCGCGAGTTCATCGCGCTCGTTCTTTTTTCTAGCGTCCGACTTGTTTTTTCCTGGATCCTCCTCCTCCTCTATCCTGATCACTGTAGCGTGGTACGCCGTCTGAATTCTCCCGTTGGAATCGCTTCGTTCGACATTGAATTTTTGGACTTCGCAAATCGTTCCAATTCTGCAAGGCGGAACGCTGGAATCCACGGTATCGACAGAATTCTTCAACGCGATTTCTATCTCGCTATTGTCTCTCGTCACCCATTTCTCGTTATTCTTACTATTGTTCTTATTGTTATCGTTATCGTTATTATTGTTGATCTTATTGTTGCTATTGTTGTTGCTGTCATTCTCATTTTCCCTCTCGTTCTCCTCCTCTTCCTCCTCTTCATCCTCGTCGTTGTCATCGTTGTCGTCGTTATCATCGTCGTCGTCGTCGTCGTCGTCCAACTGTGCCATTAACCTAGCCACTCGTTCCTCGAGATTGCTGCTAGGCACTTGAACCGCCTGACGATTTTCGACGGAAGAAGCACGGTTTAACGCTTCGCGACAATTTTCATAGATACGCTCGTCCATAGAACGATCGAGATCGATGTTGACGTCGATGTCCAGTGGTATCGCATGCATCGTCGGCTCTACAGCTCGATCTACTTGCGATAGATCGGCGAGAGATCGGCCCACACGAGTGTTTCGCGCCAAAAGAGGAATCCTACTCGGTCTCGAGGACATTCCGAAACTTTTCTTGCAGTCGTTTTTCGAAACGGCTCGGATGCTCCACAGACTGGTGGACCTGTTCATCGTCGCTCTCGGCGGAGGATAATGATCTTTCCTTTCGTAAGATCGTTTGGTCTCCTCGTTAAGGATCGACTGCTTCTTAACTTGCCCGGGGAACGAGTCGTTCGTCTTGAACGGTTCCCTTGAAAGGTCGCGTATGTCACCGGAAACGCATCCGAGACTCGCCGAGCGATCGAGGCCGATCTTCTTCCTCAGCGACTCGGGCTTTTTCGGTACCTTCGCCGGTGTG